ATTTGAGGCTTAATACTATAGAAAAGCAGTAAGAGTTTTTCAGTTTTGTTTATTTTCATATAAAAATATGGCATGCAGTTGCTTCAAACAAAGGTGTAAACATCATTAATTCAATCGTAAATTAATAATCGCAATTACAATTTCAAAGGAATAATCGACAATTATGATTTTTGTCATAATCGCTGCGAGCAGCCCTAAGTAGTAGTAGTAGTATATTTTTATTTAATGCCATGTCAGCATCTTAGGCTATTTTCATGGCAAAATAGAAGAACAATAACAATACAATAAAAACCAGCAAACAAACAAACACAAGATATATTACACAAGATTTTTTTTACATTAACATGATAAAAATTCTAAAACTTTTTCTAGCAAAATTATACTAAACTCTTTACGTGAGTTCACTTCATAAAAGAGTTTTCTACATACATTAAAAGCTGGTCAGTCCAATAAAATATGTTTTTACAGAAAGGGGAATCTTGCAGAACATGCATTGAGTACGGTCTTCACCTTTCAGCAAAAATGCACGAGTCAGTCTTGTATGACCAACGCGACATCTGCTAAATACCACTGTATCGAATCTAGTTTTAAAAGAGATTTCCGGATGTATTTTATGTGATTTATTATTTGTATAAAAAGGTACAAAATAAGCAATATTTTATTCTAAAACAGCAGTTGCAAAATGTTTAAAGGCAATGATACAAAGAAAAAAATGTGCCAATTCAAATGACGTCAGTTTTGTCATTTCATCTGTCATTTGAACCTATTTTTGTTTCATCTGCAAATCCTAATTTTGCACAAATACCGAAAATATATTTTTTCTTTCTTTTCTTTTAGTTTAAAATAACAGTAAAAATAACCATCCAAAAATCCCTTATTCCAAACTCCCTTACCCCACTTCAAGTGTTTTCATTCCAAAAGATTCAAAATAAAAAACATTTTATTCTAAAACAGCAGTAAACAATTATGAAAATAGGTTAACAATTACAAAACAAAATCTGCCAATTCAGATGGTAGATGTTTTGTCATTTCATCTGTCATCTTTTGTTTCATCTGCAAATTCTAAATTTGTACAGATACTTTAAAAATCTTCTTTTTTGAAGAAGAATAAAGTTGAATAAATAATAATAATAATACGAGAATATCTCGGTCTCTGAGAATGTGTGGGAGCTGTATGAACAAAACCTGATGATCACGTTCACCAGCATCATCTGAGACGATCCAAAGAGCATCTTGAGCTTCAACAGAAGAACATCTCAGAAACAGAAACTCACAGATCAATTACACTTATGTACTTCCATCCGATTATTCACACGGAAATAGAAATTATGGGTTCAACACAATGTTTCTTTGTTATTTAAACCCCAGGTTTTTAAAGGGGCCCCTGTGGGCTTTTATAAGTCACTATACGTACACTCTAAAAAATGCTGGGTTAAATACAACCCAGTGCTGGGTAAATAGGGACAAACCGAGCAATTGGGTTGTTTTGACCCAGCGGTTGGGTTACTACTCCGAAGGTTGGGTTAAACATTTAACCCAACCGCTGGGTCAAAACAACCCAATTGCTGGGTTTGTCCCTATTTACAACTCTTTACGTGAGTTCACTTCATAAAAGAGTTTTCTACATACATTAAAAGCTGGTCAGTCCAATAAAATATGTTTTTACAGAAAGGGGAATCTTGCAGAACATGCATTGAGTACGGTCTTCACCTTTCAGCAAAAATGCACGAGTCAGTCTTGTATGACCAACGCGACATCTGCTAAATACCACTGTATCGAATCTAGTTTTAAAAGAGATTTCCGGATGTATTTTATGTGATTTATTATTTGTATAAAAAGGTACAAAATAAGCAATATTTTATTCTAAAACAGCAGTTGCAAAATGTTTAAAGGCAATGATACAAAGAAAAAAATGTGCCAATTCAAATGACGTCAGTTTTGTCATTTCATCTGTCATTTGAACCTATTTTTGTTTCATCTGCAAATCCTAATTTTGCACAAATACCGAAAATATATTTTTTCTTTCTTTTCTTTTAGTTTAAAATAACAGTAAAAATAACCATCCAAAAATCCCTTATTCCAAACTCCCTTACCCCACTTCAAGTGTTTTCATTCCAAAAGATTCAAAATAAAAAACATTTTATTCTAAAACAGCAGTAAACAATTATGAAAATAGGTTAACAATTACAAAACAAAATCTGCCAATTCAGATGGTAGATGTTTTGTCATTTCATCTGTCATCTTTTGTTTCATCTGCAAATTCTAAATTTGTACAGATACTTTAAAAATCTTCTTTTTTGAAGAAGAATAAAGTTGAATAAATAATAATAATAATACGAGAATATCTCGGTCTCTGAGAATGTGTGGGAGCTGTATGAACAAAACCTGATGATCACGTTCACCAGCATCATCTGAGACGATCCAAAGAGCATCTTGAGCTTCAACAGAAGAACATCTCAGAAACAGAAACTCACAGATCAATTACACTTATGTACTTCCATCCGATTATTCACACGGAAATAGAAATTATGGGTTCAACACAATGTTTCTTTGTTATTTAAACCCCAGGTTTTTAAAGGGGCCCCTGTGGGCTTTTATAAGTCACTATACGTACACTCTAAAAAATGCTGGGTTAAATACAACCCAGTGCTGGGTAAATAGGGACAAACCGAGCAATTGGGTTGTTTTGACCCAGCGGTTGGGTTACTACTCCGAAGGTTGGGTTAAACATTTAACCCAACCGCTGGGTCAAAACAACCCAATTGCTCGGTTTGTCCCTATTTACCCAGCACTGGGTTGTATTTAACCCAGCATTTTTTAGAGTGTAGGCCTCCATCCTATCTTCAAGATCTTCCAGTAAGGTATGAAGTGTGCAGGCTGATGATGATGATGACAGATGACAAGCACAATTGAGTTTAGAATTCACTAAAAATTAAGTTATGACAAGATAAGGCTGAATCTGTATAAGGTTCCAAAAAAAGATACTGAAACATCCAAGAATGACACATATGTGACGAACAGCTGAAAAGTATCACATAAGGCCTCTAAGAAACTATGCAACACAAATGTTGGCATTAATTTATTCAGCCTCTGATAAAACCAAATAGACACATTACAGATGTAAACAACTGAAGGAGGCCAAACATGAATGAATCACAATGACTGCTGATGAGAGGCTGAATTATGTACTGCAGCTGCAGAAACCATAGATGTGACAACAAACAGCTGTCATTAGCGCTTGAACCTTTAAAATAACCAAAGCATCCTTCTACATTCCGCCTTTCCAGAGCTCGTGTGAATAAGGAGAGAGTCAGTCGTGATGCGGCACTAAACATCGCTCAACCAGCTTTACTTACTGTAGTCCAGATCATCCATTTTGGGGGCTTTGCTTTTAGGCATATATGTGACGGAATCGAATGTCATTCAATAACCGAGAGATAAGGATATATAAAAATATACCCCACAAACGAAAAGGAAATAAATAAATAACTAGGCGGAGGACCGAAAGGACTCAGACAAAGGAGGAGTCGAGAGCGGAAGTTGCGCCTCAGCCAGTAAAACTCACGTTCCGGAACGGCGGCCATCTTGGTGAGGGCTTCGATCTTCTGTTTAGTTCGGGGCAGTTTTTAAATATTATGTAATAATGTGATTTCTTATATAGGCTACTAGTACTTACTCAGTACGCAGTATAGCGGAGAATTTATAGTTTTCCCTTTAACGTTTGTAACTCAGTGATGATGCTGTTACAACCAGCTAAGAGTAGGGGTGTGCGATATTGACAAAAAATTATATCTCGATATTTTATGGGATTTTATCGATAACGATAATTAGATGATATTTTGCTGAGTGTGTTATTGTGCTGGTACCTTAAGGACTGCCGAAGACAGCTGACTCATAATGTTTTTAATATTCTTCAT